ATAGTGTGGCTCAGTTGATTACAAATATTTTTCATTAGCAATTATTAGAAATAAAACAAACTGGTCGAAAGTAGATTAGGATATTTTTAGACGATTATTGATGTAGAATATTTAGTTACACTATGTTTACTACAATATCACACAGCCAATAAAATTTTGCATTCAAATTAATGGACACTTGTAACGCGCTTTCGAGAGTTTGTGTTCAACGGCTTTAAACAGCTCACAGCAATCGAGTTTTTTTTGTTTGATTTATTTCTTTGATTGAAGTGATAATTTATTTTATCGGAATGTGCTCAATTCGATTTTTGTGATAACCTACATATTGCTTATCAAAAAACTTCTTTAAAAATACTAAAAACTGGACTGGAAAAGCGAAGTTTTATTAATATTTCCTCATTGCCGCCGCCGAAAAAATACTTAATGGTTTTATAGAAAGGTGTTAATGGTAACAACGTAACAAAATTATTGAAAATGAAAATATACTTTCAAATGTTTTACGCGAACATTGATTTCGCGCGCAAATAAATCATTAAAATCTTCTCAAACATTGAACAAAATCAAAACTTGTATCAGCTTGGATAAGGTTTGTTCTCAAACAGTGAACAAAACTAAAAATTGTATAATTTTTATAGTAATAACAAATGTGATTTCAATTTCCTTAAATCGTCATTATTATTTTAATTGAATTAGCCAGCAATTTATCTCTAACTCCTTAACGACGTAGTGGGTAATAATCATATTTCTCAATTTATGAATGAATAGATTTAGATATTAAGTCTAATGGTCAAAAAATCGCTGATAGTCCTAGAGCAAACATGAATTTTTGCAACAGRCTGGAAAGTAGAAATAAGATTTTATAGAAAATAACTTCAAAGCTTTTATATGTTTTTTTATATTTAAAATTWATAAARCGCACCGCATTCARAAMSACTTGTAACTGRGWAATTTTTYCAAATATAATGGAAWATACATAACCCTGTCWTTCCAGTGGCATGTACYCTTTTATATTATTATTTCATTCWTTTCATTTCATTTTTACAAAACACMCTACMWMYACMYAYACTTGGTTTTCGTAATGTTTTAAAGCCTAGACTGTGTTCTAGTGTTCTAGTGTTCCTTACTTTTATCTATTTAAGGTTTGCAACAACACTCGTACTAAACCATAAGAGCTTTGCAGAAAATGAAAWTGAATAAAATATCCGACCAGACGCGGAACCAGGCTGCCTGCTTGTCTAACAGCGATCTATACTGCACAAAACGTTTCAAGATGTTCCTGTGTTAGTTCGCTAGTTGAATCGTTCGCGAACGAGAACCCGTTCGAATTTAGCGCGAAAAAACAACACACGTTTCCAATCAAGAAAATGCTTTTTTAAAGCGGGTCTTATCGAAAATCTCGAGATATGACGGAAATCTGCAGGAGAACCTAGATTGGGTTTTGCAAAAATGTCCACGTTTTCTTGTGCAGTGGTTATTGCAGTGTTTTTGTTTTTCGTCAAAGTGGCAGGCAAGTAATTAAAAAATAGTTTTTTTGCAACTGGAAATACGAAACTTAATGTTCTTCACATTCATAAGTTCATCTAATGAAATTAATGATGACTTGAAAGCGAAGACGAACATTAAGCAAACATTCAACGCGATTTTGGAGGTGATTCCTTGAGCAAATAAATAGTATGATAATGTTTTACATGGCAAAAGAATATATAAGATTTAAGTCAATTTGCGTGCTACTTACCTACTTCAAAAACCCAAAGTAAATAGAAGAAAACGCGTATTCGTCGCCATGATCAAAACATCAATAAAACTGACTTTTATAGAACCACGAAACATTGTTTGATGAAGACGATATTTGATCACTTGGATGGTAATTATCTAAAATGCTTTATGTCTTTTTGAAGACAAAATCTTGGTCAAAAACTTACGTTTTTTGAGTAGATATTAATGCTACTTTTTTTAAGTTGCGGTAATTAATTGTTTTCAAAACTCATACACTCATGTTATAATTGGATTCCGCCTGTAAAATATTTAGCTAAATAATGACTTTAAAACGATGACTTTATTCACAAACTGTTCAATTATCCGTGTCCAATGTGCCAGTGAGTGAACAAGTAATTGATTCCGTTAATAAAATTATTATAATTTTGCTTTTCAATATAATCGCATTAATTCGTGGACGAAATGAGAACCGTTTTCGAATTTTACCCCGGTATCGACTGCTCACTGTGCAAATGCATGACGGTCTTTTTCGTACAATGTTTTTTTTGGGTATTTATAGAGCGTTTACTTCTCCTTTCAAAAATCAAACTTTAAAGTCAAATATTTTGGCGCTTCTTTACCAGCAACCGTTAAATAAGTTCCAATTCCAAAAATATTTGGAAAATTGTAAATTCTGTCAGGCGGATTAGTGCAAGGAATTCAACGTTCCTTTCCAATATCCCATTCGCCACAATTAAGTTAAGATTTTCGAGGGGCCGATGATTTCAACCACATAATTTCATCGAATTAGTTTTTACACTTTTACATTAAGTATTTCTTTAATTCAATTCCATTCTGTTTTTTTATTTCCAATTATCAAATTTTTCAATTAATCAACCACAACAATCAATAATTTTTTAAGTGTAAAGTTCCGTTTGATGCCCACTCATTTCATCTGCAAATATAAATAGAATTCTGTTTTTGATTGGATTTATTTTTTTACCATTTTTCCTGTGCTCTCCGAACAACCCAAAGTAACGACACCAATTTTGAATCACTATGTAATTTCAAAATGTTTTTGTATAAGTATCAGCTTTTGAAAGCTACAATTCTATTTTTGTATGTATGTTTTAATAAATCGCGTGCTGCGTGAAGCTGATTTTTCATGTTTCTGTCTCCAATTTAGCAAAGTTTCAAAGTTTTCAAAACTCTGAAAAAGTTGAGTCAGAATCGGAGAGTTGTGAAAGCCATGAAATGCAGAGAAACGGCCAGATAAAAGTTTTAAAATTTTCACAGTAATTTATATCGGTTCTTATTTAAAGTACTAATTGGCATATACAGCGTGAGCCATTAGGTGGCCTTTTAAGTTAAATTCATATTCACATGTCGGGAAAAGCTTCGTATCTGAGATCCTACAGGTTGTCTAAGTTTTGGGCATTTCACAGTTGCCATAGATTGTATATTTATTTATTTCGTGAAAAAAGTCGACCACTGACCGCTTATTTTCACACATTTTGCTGCTGCAAAACCTTAAAAAGTTTAACAAAATGGATAATAGACGACGGATTATGAAAGAATAGAACAGATAGAAAGAGAAAAGCATCAGCATAAACAGAAGAACAATAAGTAGTGATAGTTTTATACGTAAATGATGAAATATAGTTTAAAGCTCGGTTAAACTAGGTAATTGATCTAACATATTGCCTACCAACAGCCCTTTAAAATAACTGTTAACAATTTTCTTATTGCTTTTTATTTTCTGAAGCAATTTAAACACCTGCAATTTAACAATCATAAAAACCAGTTACTGTAATTAAATATTGATTTTTAAATACACATATGTCTATGAAGGCTAAAGCACATTTTATTCGTTATGCGTGCATTTAATATTTTGCATCACTGAACTGTTTCGTTCAACGTTAAGAAAATGAGAGTAATTAATTTAAGCAAAAGACACTGATATGCTATCAAATGTGTATTGCAATTCTTTAGCATGCAATTGTTTGTTCATATCATTGCCTTATTAATAGACTTTATCGGTTTCTAGTTAATTGATATTTTGACTTCATTTTATACAATTGAAACGAAAAACTATATGGGTAATATAACTAGATTTTTTGTGTAAAATACAGCAAAAAAATTATGCAGCAAACAAAGTCTCACTTAAATAAATTTGTAATGAACTACGTCAAACCCTAATTTCCAACTACTGTTTTACAATCTGAAATTTCACATTGTTTAAATAAAAAATTTAGCCACATTTCGCCGATCTGGCATTGAATATTCCATCGTTTATTAGCTTAGTGCTTTACTTTATGACCAAGTATATGAAAACCTAAAAGCAGCCCGACGATAAAAATTCCATTTTACTGTACGTCACGAACAAACTTTGCCTAAAAATCGTTTGAAATTGATATAGTGAGGTCATGGTGAAAAATGTAATCCCAATCCAAATAAAACACATACGGGATGATTCAACTGATGTAAGATGGTGATCAAACTCGAATTTACATTCCACACATTGTCATATAATTGTGCAATTCTTTGTTCTAAGGAGGCAAAATATTCAGCGTGTTCAACAGAAAAAGTTATTAACTGGAAAGTTACTAAAACCCTAAACTGCGCCAAAGCCTTTTTTTAATTAGTAGTTTATTTGTAAAATTAATATATGGGGTGAGAATTTGAATCCCTACAATGGTTATATTGGAAGAATAAATATTATTTGGCGCAATCTCTAGTAGGATTTTAAAAGTCGAAAAAAAACACTTATAGAAGTATTTAAATTGACTTTAAATCCCAATTGAAATTAAACAGTAACGCTATCAAGGGAACAATTCATCAAAGTGATTAACAGCACGAGTTCTAAATTCATCAAAGATTAATATGTTACTTATTATTTGGAAGCCTGTTTTTTATATTGATTACATTAGGAAACTGCTCGGTAAAGAAAATGGAACAGTGGAATTTTAATATGGTTCTGACTAGAAAGTAATTTTATGGCTAAAGTTCCAGCATAAAGGTTATCGATCTTATTCTGGTACTACAAAGATGGGAAGTTGGAGATTGGCGAAAACCATAGCGGGACCCGAGAAGAAAGCGTAATTATATTTTATTTCGTGTAAAGCTTAACAATTTTTCAACATCTACGATTATAGAACTAAAAATAAAAATACTCCCTATGGATGTTGACTATGAAACTTACAAAACACTTAAGAATATGGATTTGCAAAAATATTTATCTTAAATTTATGGCATAATCAAATTAAAATTCCCGAACAGAACAAATAACCGCTGAATGATGTTAATCGAATACTCCGCAGACATTATATTTCATTAACTTTTTTCCAATGTTTTACTTTGCTGGATAAGCCAATAAACAATACACTAGAGCCCGTTAATATCTAAAAATATCTTCGTTTAATTTTCGGGTCTGTTAAGTGTTGCCCGCTTCACTGTCAAATATTAATTAATACATTGAAACTAATTGTTTAACACTGTAAAAAGGGTATTGATCTATTTAGCTTTGCGAGTGTCTTCATTCCGTGCTGTTAACAGCCATCAAGTTTGGCTATCTGTCCTTATCAAAGAAGAATCACGATTATTACTTGTTTCGTTCTAGTTGATTGAATCTTTAAAATAAAAAAACATATTATACACTATTTAATGGAGTAAAAAATAATATTTAAGATTACGTGGTTTTAGTTTTTAGATTGTTTTTCGTTGGTTTTTTCAGGTATGTACTCTATTCATTCAGTAATGCAGGTAAAACGTTTCACGGTAATTGGTTAATCTCAATTCATTGAAAACCCAATAGTTCTACTGGAAAATGAATAGATTCTCTAATTAAATACTTTAATCTGCCATAATTTAAGCTTTGTAAGTTTGTAATTTTTTGGACAAAAAGAAAATTGTCGCTTAAAATGATTGTCTTATTATTCAAATGACAAAATGTACTTTTATTTTGAGATTGCTATTCTAGCAAAAAAATATCTAATAAATAAGCAAGGTATTTTTTTAGTAACAACTATTTATGTTATTTATTTTATATAGAAAATATATTAAAATATATTTCGACTAAAACTTTAAATAAAGGTACATCATTGGATGTATTTATTTATGAAGCTTTTGATATATTAACAGATATTGGAAAAGATTCATATTATTCACTATTTTAGAATGACTGCTATTACATAATACTTTCAATGTTTTGAGAGGTATATAAAATATCAAACAAAATTTGTTAAAATGTTGCTTATATTTTAAACATTATAACTTTACGTACTTTTAAAAATTGAAATTCCTAATACGCTCGTTTCCTATCACTTTGAAAGTGGTTGATGTTGAATTAATACTTCTAGAAAAAAATGTTGGGGTAATAATGAATGATTTCAGTGATAAATTGTTACAAAGTATCAACAAATCTGGCCTATTTGTTTTCATATACATATTCTGTTAATCTCTATAAATGATGTTAACTGACCCTAATAATATGAAGCGGTATTATTTGTAAGTACGAGTAATTAATAAATGCAGTTGTAAAAAACAAGCAACTTCTATAGAATAAAAGAGATTCAGATGTTTTAAATTATTTTTATTATTCGATATTGATATTGCCAGTTCTGCTTGTAATGCTTTTCAACTGTCAGACCGTGTCTCCACCATGCGAAGAAGTAGGCAGAATAGACCTAGCTCGATTAGACTTAGACGGCTGACGTTGAGGAGGAAGCTGGACGCCAGGAAGAACAGTCATTCTTCGCGACGGAGGTAAAGCTGCCATTTTACTGAACAGATTTGCCGCTTCTTCTTTCATGTTAGTTCCGCTCAGCATTTCGATAATTTTCCTTTCCCGATCCATCAACTCCTTCAATGCGAACCGATCGTCAAAGTGCACATTTTCGATAACATCCAAGCACTGTCTTATAAAAGCCACTTTTTCGTGGTCACTCAATTTGGCGGCACTTTTAAGAGCCAACTGTAGATCCACTTTAGCATCGTTTTTATTGTGCTGTTGCAGGTCACCTTTGCACAGCAACATTGCACTATTGAAGACCCACATTTCGTTTTTTAGATTGTTGGCTTCTAGAATGCATTGTCGTGCGTAAAGTCTTGATATGTCGTATTTTTTCTGTTCGAGATGATATCTACAATGAGAACAAAAACTTTAGAAAATCGACGATATTTGCAATAGTTGTTGTGCAGTTATCATATTGGCGTTGTAAACTTTTCAATATTTTGATGATTTGGAGATACTTCATTTCAAGAAACCGTTAGTTTAGTAAGTAAGTTTCGTTCACTTTTCATTCATACAATTAAACATCAGTCATTTTTTTTATATTTCATTAATCACTAGAGACTGATTCGAAAAACTTAAAATACAACCGACTGAACTTTGTTGATAACAACTGACTTTGTTGATAAAAATTCGAGCACGATTTTTCTTTTATCTCATCAATTGTAAAAGAAAAATAAGTTAGTTTTTGGGTTATGAAGTGCCTCATTTGATTAAAAAAAGGAATTTTTAAGTTGACGTTGGAAATTATAAAGGAAACTGTTTATAAAAATGTAGTTTTGTGCTTAACCAATTATGAGTGGAACATTGTGAAGCCTTTAAAATCAATGCTGATACACCGATAAATTCTTCAGATTCGTCCGCATCTGTGAATGCTCGATTAACAGTCTGAATTTGGTCAAATCATCAATTTAATTCAAATCAGAAAGACGAAGCAATCATCGGTTGCGGCGGGAGGGAATAATCACTTTGCCTAATTTTCTTATAATACGATTAAGATTCTCATTTCTATTTTTTTGGCTGAAGTGTATTTTTGTTAAACGTTTTCATGCTCTAAACAAAAAAGATGTGACATGTTTCTTTGAAAAAAGACAATTACCAGTAGAATGTTTAAAGTCGTGGCTTTTAATTCGTCCTGTTCTTTTTTGGTTCGAATAAATGGATTATTCGTAAAAATTTTACAGTTCCATATTTTTAATATAGTAGAAAGTAAATTTATGTACCTAAGTGTACTGTTTAGAACCAAAATGTAAGCTTGCTTTATTCAATTGAAGTTAACATGATTTTATGACGCATTTATTATATTTTATTAGTTAACAATTTGTTATTCAGTGATTTTCATTTCATCCTAAGTATCCGTTATTCTAACAAAAAAATTATAATACATATATATAAATTTGTACATTTTCCCAAAATCGTAACAAAGGCCTTACCTTACTGAAGCTTCTATAAAATTTAAACCTAGTTCAAGTAATAAAATCGTTAAATTTTAATGTATTTGAAAGATATGTTTCAAATGATCCAAAGTTATCGTTCGATCGCCATGAAGCAGCCATGCAGAAGATGATTTGAAACAAGAAAAATTCTAATAAATGGCCGACGTTTTGACCTCTTATGCGGGATTTTCTCAAGGCTCTTTTTGATATTGAATTTTTTTATCATTTGACCGACATATTCATATGAAAAATAGCATGGAGAGAGACTCGAACAGAGGGTTAAAATGCTGACCATTTTTAGGCGATAAAAGGAGTTTTTAATCCAGTTCCAAACTGGCTATCCTTTATAGCTAGCTTATAGCCTACTTATTAAGTTTCGGGGATGCAACCAGGCACCTCTAATATCCGAGAAGAAATACAAGCCTGCTTGCAAATGTTAAGCTCCATCCAAACAGTACCCTACTAAATGCGCTCCTAAGAATGATAGAAAAGAAGATAAGAACGTTTTTTAGCTGATTAAAGCTATTTCGCTTAACTTTCCATATGATGTATTGAACAATTTAGTTACCATACTGATTGTGAAATGTTAAATAAACCGGAGGTGATAGTAATTAAAGAATTGTGTAYTCTGTGCAATAAAAGTATCGATTCGGTGCTAAAAAGTGTAAGTTTTGYSCAAATMATTTAGCTTTTCAAGATCCAATAATTTTTTCGTAGGAATTTGCAATTTATAGCACTTAAACAAGTTCATTTTAATAAAATTTCTTATAATTGATAYATTATCAAAGTATTTATATTTTAATTGCATAATTRAATTAAAAATTGTTGYTTTAAAGGRCATTTTACTCTTTTTGAATAATAACGGAAGCAACTTTATTAATTACAGKTTTTTAAATTGTTCTTGTTTAAAGCATTATATTTTTATTTTCTAACCAACGCTTATGAATAAATCACACACTCAATGCTCCATTGTTCAATTAAACTCACTCACCTGGATAATTCGTGGTAAAACCAGCAAATCTCCTCCGGTAATACAGCTTGGCGTAGCCTTTCTTCATATTCACGAATTCGCTTCTTATAATCAACAAATACATTTTTAAACTGAACAAGTACCGAATCTGTAGAGGGATCTCTACTAAGAGGTAATCCAAGAGACGCATAAATTCTGATATTTTGTTCATACATGCTTTTCCTTGGATTCGATCTGTATATGTCATAGAAGGCTTGGCACATAGTGCTGTAGATGACCTTTAAGTATTCGCCTTTATTTGGAATAATACGTTTTGACTTTGCATTCACATAGCGGCGAAGTTTTTCAGTGTAGACCAGAAGGTCTTTAAGCTGACGATTAGTGAAAGCGTCCTTTATTTCTTGGAGAATTATATCGGCTTCCTTTTGGGCTACACGTTGTTGATGTTGGAGCTCGGTTTTCTGTCGTTCTTTTAGAGCTCCAGATACTCGAGCCTCCTGGTATCTGATTGAGTAGAATGGCTTTCGTGCCCGCAGAAGTTCTTGTTTGTTGCACACGGTTTGATAGCATTTTTTCGCGATTTGTTTCAATGCTTTAGCACCTATAATTGAAATTACTCATGCAAAAACGTCTTGTGATATTGGGTTTAATCTATTTTTTTAACGTCAACTTTTTAATTATTCGAATACCTCATCTTTGCTATCATCGCCTTAAAATGTTACTTTGTCAAATAGATTATTGGCGCTATTTGGTTTCTGTATAAGCGCTGGTAATTAGTGTGTATAAGTGAGTTAATAAAAAAAAAATAGTTTCAAGTTTCAACTTTTCTGAGGAAAACCTACTTTATAACAATGATACCTTGCTTATTGGGTCCATAGACGCCTGGCTCATTAGGAATGTGCTTCAAAAATACTTTATCCAAATACATTTTATCCAGATATTTCTCGGCCATAAAGTTATCAATATTTGATGTGTAATTTTGCACGGGTTTCATCAGATATGGGTAAGGGTATGGAGGGATGGGGTCATGACTGCTCCCCACTGAGTGCAAAGATTCCTTTATGCTCAGGCCTGCAGGGTCTGGAAAATATTATTGATGCACGGTTGTTAACTGCTAAATTAGGCTTGCAGACGCGTTCGCATTTTGGTATTATGTGGTATCACCAGCTCTCGGGACTCTTCACGGGGATATAGATTTTTAAATAAAGGGCTTTGTTTATTTTTCTTCGGCTTGGTTTGCGGAGTCGGCTCAAAGGGCTTGTGTGCCGCATAGTTTTGCTTCCAAGCAAGTCTTCTGATAATTTTGAAATGATCCCTTAAGGGTCGTCCTGGTCGTTCACCAATGCAGTTTTCAATTGCTTCATAACAGTCCATCACCCCCATTTTAAAAACTTCGGGCTTTTGCCTGGATGAGGCATGTTTCAGGTTCTCAACCAGACCTATTGAACAATTTTTCAAAATCGATGTGTAGAATAGTTGAATTTTAATTTGCCTTCTTCGAATTCAGCGCATAAATACATGTTTCTAGTTGAAACGCTCCATGCCGTTAAATCATCCGGGTCTATGCTCAAGACATGACCAATGTCCTCCATCGCTCCTCCATACTGGGCAGCTTTCGCTCTAGCTGTTGATCTGCCGATTAATGTGCGTCGATCGTCTGGATTTTCCTTAACCGCTTTGTCGAAATATTCAAGTGATTTGTCATATTTTTCCAGGCGTGAAATATGGTACCCAATTTCCCGGTTCACAGTTTTGCTGCCGTGGATTTCGTCCCCTGTTCCTAAAAGTTTCCGCCCCTGCATATTTGCAATTAAAATTTACTTCATTAGAACAATAAGGTAATTTTGACAATCGTTTTGAGTCAAAATTGGCAAATTTTATCACTGGCACAGGCCAGGTAGTAAAATCCTGGATGGACTTCTGATATGTATGTGCCCTGTGTTATATTGGGGAAATAAAGAATATCGGGAAAGTTGTAAAAGCCAGCTCAGAAAAAAATGTGTAACTCTTTCCGGAAGGTCGTGATATAGCTGGGAAACACAGACACTGTTCCTTCTAAAATTTAGGTACATACGTTCTGGAGAAACTTTGGTAAATTCGAGTTCAAAAAAATTGGTGTGACGCACTGTATATCATATTTTGAGGTGCAACGGGTAACTTCAACATTTTCTCACTAAAAGTTGTAAGCACTCAGTACTGCTCTGTCGGAGTGTAATAATTGAAAAGACCATCTTATATCTTTAACTATATAAGAACATTTACTATCCGTAGGTATCGACCAACCGTCTTATTTAAACATACCGGGTGTCAATTTGAAAACTTCCCACCCTTAATATCTTTCGTGCAGTTGAAAATATTAAAAATCGGAAAGATTCTTCAATTTTATTTATAAGGGGGACACTTTAGTTGAATATTTTTAGCCTCATTGTTTCAACCTCCTAAGTCGGGTAGATGTCACCCTTATAATTTTAAATAGGAAGGGGGGTCAAGTGGCACACCTTTTTAAAGGGCCTTCAATTATCTTTACATTAATTATTACTTTGTTGCTTTTTGTCCAGAAGTTTCCGAATAATCGCGGTTCAAAGTTGTAGAAGCAATTAAACTTGCGTGCATTCAGATATTGGTTTTCATGTTAGTTTTTACAAAAAAACAATTGTATTGGGTCTCCTTGTAATACAAATACACCGGTAAAATGGTGGAATTACCGGAAGAAAATTTAGTTTAAACATTGATTTCTTATTTTTGATTTTGACCTTATTATTTATATATCCATTATTTCTTATTTATTGATTATTTTACATCGACAAAAATAACTTTTTATTTGCCGAAGATAAATTTCTACAATAAAACCTATGTCATCTGCATGTCACGCACTGTCTGATTAAATTGTGCAAATGTTGTTTACTGTAAACAATAATAAAGTCTGTTTCCAAACTCCTCCCCAAGTTTTCGGATCACTTTACCGGGAATTTACCGGCATTCTACTGAAATTCGCCTTTAAAGATCATAAATATCAGCAAGTTGTGTTTTACACACAACGGACTGTGATCCTGAAGATGTTCCCGAAGAAAGAAGTCTAAGGGTGTTCAATTCGGTGATCCTGGAGGCCAGTCAATTGGTCCCCTTCTGCCAATCGATCTACCGGGAATATCTTATCAATGTTAGGGAGGGTTCGAAAATATACTTTATTATTGTTTACAAGAAAATAGACAACATTTTGAACAACTTACAAGATAATGCATCAGTAGATTCTATGGGTTTTATTGTAAAAATGTCTCTTCCGTAAATAAAGTGATTTTTCTCGAAGTGAAATAATCAATAAATCCGAAATCAATTGTTTAAATTAGATTTTCTTCCTGTTATTCAACGATTTTAACAGTGTAACCTACTCTTCTAATCATTTGTACCATAAGCAGGCCCAATGACATAATTTTTGTTTAAACACTAATCTGAAAAACAAAATCTCAATGCAGGAAAGTTTAATTGTTTCTACAACTTTGAAACGCGAGTTTTCGACAACTGCTGAACAAAAAGCAACAAAGTAGTAACTAATGTAAAGAGAATTGAACGCCCTTTAAAACAATGTGCCATTTGACCCCCTTCCCATTTAATATTCTCAGGGTGGCATCTACCCCTCCTAAGGGGTTGAAACAAGGAGGCTAAAAATATTAATTTAAAGTGTCCCTCTTACAAAAAAAATGACCTGTTTCCGATTCTACATAGTTCTAACTGCAAGAAAGATATTAAGGGTCGGAAGTTTTCAAATAGACACCAGGTATAATAACTTACGTTATTCGAAGGATTTTTTTCCTATTCTGTAGGGTTTTGTCTGTCTTTTAACGAAGCCTTTTTTTACTTATACATGAAAGTTTTGTTACTTACGTTAATTAGTTAATCTATGTAGAAAGTTATTGACTTTACCGTTGGAAGCCATTCTGAATATGTTAAATAGTGTCAACACGACGACTTATTGCTAAATAAATAACTTTTTTTTCTGACGCATGGAAAATATAGGGGATCGGTCATGTGGCATCATAAAATAAATATTGAATATGAAACCAATTTTTTGGAACTGTATCACATTAACTTTAGTTAACTATTGATTTTGCACAGTGTGTTAAAAAACATTTCAAATGATTGAAATCGATGTATTAATTAGAGTTGTCCATACCTTTCGAACATTACCCGACAAAATGTGGTCCAAAACAATTTCTTAGCTTTTCCGTTCTGGTTAATCAATAACTTGTTTAACTTAGTGAACGACTAAACTGCTACTTACACATTAAGTGTACCTGCTATTTAATTTTCGTAATCATTTTGATGAAAACATGTTTTGACCATTTGACTTTAAAATTTCGCAATAAAAAGTAACTGGGATTAATTTTTATTTCTTCGATGTTTAAATAAAACGCGTAAATATGCCTTAATGTTTCGATGTTGCCAAAATTAATGCAGCAATTGCTGACAAAGTGAAATTAAGATATATTCAAGGTGTTCAAACTGCTATTTGTTATTTGGTACTATTGTTGTCTCCCCAAAGTGGAATATTTGAATAGAAAATTAATCTGTCATCCTGTCTGAATAAGATTGACTGCGTCGGATGTAATTCAATGTAAATTCGAGTTACACCTTTGCAATAAAATTAGATCATCATCAACATCAGAAGCAATAAATGGCCATTCAATTCCTGAAACTGAATGGCAGCTATTTGCTTGATTGGTTTTACGCTTTCGCGCTTTGCACTAATATGTGTTCATATATTTAAAACATACAGAGAAATTCAATGGCTAATTATCTGTATATACCAGTGTTGAAAAATCAAATTAACAGTGACAATAAATCGCATTATTTGCATGCAGACATTCATCTATCATCACGATAATTACCTAAATAATAAATCAGCGTTATGTGCTTATACTTGCAACCTGTAGATGTACGCAATAATAACTCAGCTCTCAAGTGTTAATTTAATTACGACTTTTGAGCACTAGTCATCGATTTTCTGAGGAATTTAAATTAAAAAATTACAAGGTACACCATTTAGCCATTTGCTTAAATTGGGTTTTTTGACAAACTTTACTTGCATTAGTTAAATGCATGACTAAATTAAATCGGACACGTTGAATGCAATTCAATGTAAGCTAGAGTTAAATTACAAGAATTCAGTATTGTAATCGTGTTTCAACCAAATAAGGCGCTTTCCCAAAACTGTATCTGTGAGTTTTGTATAAAAACATTTACTTGGAGATATTTTTTTATAGCGAAGAATCCTTGAAATATGTTCCTTGATAAGATCTTTAGTACGTTTTTGGAATGGATTATAAGTTTTCAAATGAGTTGCAATTTAGGTAACAAGCTCGGAACTATGTGGGCACTCCCATTTCATGTGCAACTGTTTGCTATTTAAATAATTTTTTCTCGCTTCCGTATTAGTGCAGCATTTTGCAATGTCTGGCAATTATGTTTAGTTATTTTTTGAAATACGGCCGCCTACGAAAGTGGACGTTTTAACGAATTGGCCAGACAAGCACATTGTCCCCATAACATATAATTTAGTTGACTAAATCTGCAATGGCAATTTTCCGGTTTTGTGCTTTTATTATATTTGTTTTCCACAAAGTATTATTGACTATTATTACTCCCTATAGCTCTACTTTCTAATTCTGTTTTTCTACTTCCACGTAGTAACATAATTTATTCTTTATTTTCTTTAACTCTTTCTTCTTCTATGATATCGGTCTACTAACGGCGGCCTGCCAGGTTTGAGTGTATTTGTTTTAAATTTTAATCAGCACAAATCTTCCATTCGTGTTATGCTGGTAAACATAGATTTTTTAGATTGTTCAGAATGGTCGAAGCAACAAACCCTTGAATTGAACACAATTTATGAAGCGAGAAGTAAAATGTAACGACCATCTAATTGATGACAAAAATTGAGATTTCATTTTTCATTTTGATGTCCGCAGCTGGAAAAGTTGTGTTTTCAACTGGACGAAGTGAAAACCAGAGATTAAAGGCAAATTAAGAGAAAAGCAAATGAAAATCAATTCGAAGCGCCCAATTTAGTAGTTTGCGTTTTTGGGTTTTTAATATTATTTGTTTTCTTACCAAAACCACAAATTGATGTAAATTTACTTGTCACTACAATTTTTTTKTTCTAGAAAAATGTTTTTTGATATGCAATCATTTAAAATTTAAATTGCGGACTTTCAATCTGCCTCACARGASRRAAAWTATCCAATGAACAGAGCACGTGCCCCAATAATTTCTAATTTAAAACCACATTCTTTACATTTGCTSACACGCAGCTGTTAAATKTAGCGAAACAATCCTCAGGCTATTTTAATTTTTTTAAGAGAAYTATCGACTTATTTGGATACATAGRAAAGTACTTAGCTTAAATATATTTTTTTTGTTTAAATTCTATATTTTATCACATGAAGCTCCATTTTAAATTAACTTTAAATTTCTGACTAATTTATTCATTGATTAACTTTTGCAGATGGGGCAGTTCAAACCAACCAAAGCCTTCAATATCACTATGTGTGTCCAAAAAACTTTGAAAACGTTGGAAGAAAATGCTATCATTTCAGCAATACGACGGCCACCTGGTTTCAATCCTACTTTGGCTGTAGGGATTATGTGGGCAGCAATTTGACCGTATTCATCGATCGCTATGATCAGAAGCAGTTGGAGAATTTTCTGTTCAGAAGCCGAGGCAAAAATCGAGGTAAATTATTTACTAATTTATACCTTAAGACAGTAAACCCTTGTTTCTAAAAATGAACCAAAATAATGTTTTGTGCGCCCAAGAGAGTGATCAGTCCTCAGCTTCCAGATTATAAATGCTCATCAATTATCGTTTCAAATAAATAAAGAACGAAACTTGGGTAGCTTGGCAATTTACAATCACCACATACAATTGAAAATTACTGCACTTATGTGGATTTTTCGACAATTTTCTGAAAATRTATGTGAATTCCACACGGAATKTGCCAAACTGATGCTCAATGCTCTTACAAAGRCATTCGATTGTGTTCCATAACAGAAACGTTGAAAAACAGCGTCACTCTAAAATGTATATCAAGGAATTGTATTTATCAARGTGTTTGCAGAATAATTATTTTAATTTAGCAAAAATATTCCTGTTTAATTTTTTTGCCATTTGACTAACGCAAACTTTCAAGGAGCATCAGCCTCAACTTTTTCGTGACATACGAATTTACGCTTGTTTAATTTTTTTTGCTTTGCTTATCAAAATGATTCTTACGTTGCTTGCATCTTTCGCTGACGGTACATTTTACCTCTATTCTATGATATCCATACTTGTCATGCTGCATCTCGTTTTTCTTTGTTTTATTTTTTTACTTTTCTTTCATGGTGTTCTTACTGTTCATTAACATCAAATTGTTCATTCGTATCGATTTCACTGTTTCGGTAATTTTGCTGCTCCTATTCTTGTTCATATTCTCTTCCTTTTTTAATGTTTGCAAATGCCACAGATAATGAATAATAATTCTCACATTTGGGATCAATTTTGGTTAACGTGTTTCAAATGCTTGTTTTCTKTARCAAATGTTCATTTTAGTTCGTTATTMCTTATGGACACATTTTCTAGGATAAAAAGAATCGACTCTTTTATTGGAGGAGATTAATTTTCAAACATTTAGAAAATTATTTTTACAATTGATTTTAAATTGGCAAAGTCGCACTATAACAAAACTGATATTAAGTCGTATTTGTAAAAAGTATTCATATGTTGAGAGATTTGGGGAAGCTTTAAAGTTAAAAATGCGTTTAACTACATATTTTTTTGTAAATTTATAATATTTTTCCATTATTGACCACATTCTTTTTTAGGGTTTTCGATTTACAGTCTTATGCTACACATTAATCTACCTAATACGTTCAATTAAAAAATGTGAATTTTATTAAAATTTGAATATAAGAATATATGTATATTATTTATCAATTTTATATCCCATTTTCTGATTTTTGTAAAATAAATATTTATCTGGATTTTGCTTAGCACATACCCTTTCTTTCTCTGCTACAGAGTTGCAATTTATTGCACTTTTTTTTTAATTACCATTTAAGATATTGCTTTATAAATACACGTGGAAGTATGGCCATTTTAAAACGAAACTATTCGGTAAAGTTCTATATTGTTTTTTATTGTATTTTTAAACTATTCCGCATATTTGTTGAATGAAATCATCAGATTTGCTACATCCTGATCAAGATGAAACCCAAATGTAGCCCAAGCAAAATATTTCAATAATAATCTGATTTAGTTTAATGTTGTTTGAAATAGCTAAAACGCAGCTGACCTATTTGTTATTTATTACTGTAGGCGTCTGCCGCTAGTATCTTGATTAATAATGGTGCAGCTTTAGCTAGAAGAGTCGTATTTCTATTTACAATTGCTATTAAATTAACTTCAATGAATATTAGAGGAAAGCTTTCCGGATCTAGTGGGATAACAGAAATGAGAATGTACCAAGATGATGAACAAAGAAAACTTTAATGGATTGATAAAACAATCTAAATACAAATTTTCAGTCAAATCAAAGTAAAATAAAACTGGATACGGAAAAAAGTTTACCATTGAACTAGTTAATTTTAGTATCCAGTCAAAAAGGTGGTTCAAGTCCAATTGAAGCACAGAAGTAATTAGTAAAATTCGAAAATTTCAATATGCTTTTAACTGTTATTCTTCGTTGCGACTTAAAATTTTTATTGCGCGATCAAAATGTAAAATTTCTGAATATTTGTTAACCGGTCTCCGATATATTGCAATTTACTTCCAATAAATGGGAGGATTTTCCAAATTAAATTAGATTTTAAGAAGTTTGAAGTTGGCGCTTTGCATAATGGTCTTGTGCTTTCTATTTTGAAAATCAATCTGTTTTTGGAACCCATTGTATATTTGGTATTTTTGATAATTTTTGATTTATTAACCTTGCACAAACTGAACAATAACTAATGGTATGCATGACCACCATTATTTTCATTGCATTTAGCTCTAGCTTTATACCACATGCACTATGACAAGATGTGGGTAGATGACTATTCAAATTTCGTTCTGTTACGGAATTCGGAAATAAACAATTTAAGAGAATCGAAAAGATTTGGGCTCGGCAATTTGTTAAAGAGGATTTAATGTGGTGCTCGTGGCACGCGGAGGAGCAGGATGTTTCAATTTGGAACCATGACCACAGTTATAGAAGGGTTCTGAATGGACGTTGCCTGATAACGCTTGCCAAATTGTTTATTTGATTATTTCGAGATTAAAGAAAATGTTCGAACATTATTTATTTGGACGCTAGTACAAATGCTTCTAAGTCGATACTGTAAGATAATAATCAATTAGTATCTACTGACCATGTTTAACTGCAACTCTTCTTAGCTATGTTTTGCAAAATTTAATTACTATTTAAATTGCCATGATACATTTTGAATTCAGCAGTCGAGTTGATGATAAACGCGTAGCTTCTGTTTATCTCTCTTATGAAACGTACATAAGCAACAGTGTAATGACGAAAATTAAATATTCGCCTGAGTAGATTGTTAGGAAATTTTATTGCCACTTTTATAGGTTTAAGTTATTTTTAAATTCATATTTCAGATCTTGAAGTGGTTGTGTTGTTTTGCTGACTGTAGTTTTTATTTTTAAATATTGCTGAACAAAACAAATTAAAACAGTTAACGTATCCAACGATAAGCATCCATAAATATTTGGTGTATGCTTAAAAGACCACAGTAAGACTAAATGTGTTTTTTGAGGAATACTTCTATGGAGTTTTCGTACTGTGTATACATCAAAAGAGATATGAGATAAAGCCAGTAAAGCTGTTTTAAAAGAATGCACTTTCTCATACGCTACATACCCGATGACGTGAGTGAAAAAAGGTTCAGTTTTACTCAATTCTCGTAATTTGAAGTGCACAATCCTTATTTCAATTTTCAATAGGATAGGATGTTAAGGTCTAGATCTTTCAGCGTTTCTTCAGGTAGGAGTTTTTGTTCTATGTGGGAAACATATATTTATGTCGTTTGTGTTAGTGTTCAAGTTGAGGGTCGCTGACGATTTTTTCTGGATCATCTTTGTTCTTTCGAGCCGAGTATTTACGCATAATTTTGCTTTTACAAGCCGGTGGTCACTTCCTGTATTGAAACGATCTAGAACAGATACACCCGCACAGTGTTGTTTCGCTGTGGTTAGGATTTATTCAGTCTCGTTCTTTACATGTCCATTCGGGCTTCTCCACATCCACTTTCGTTGCTTGGACTTTTTAAAGAATGTGGTCATGCAGAACATCTCCTTGTTTATGAATTATAATAGTACCTTCCTCTGTCTCTTCCCCTGCCCATTCCGTATGTTGAACCAATGTTACCCGGGTCCGCCACTTGTTTCTCTCCAATTTTAGCGTTGAAATCGCCTATGATCACCGTGTTTTGCTCGCCCCAAGCCCTTATCAGTCGAGATATCTTCGTAAAACTATTCCTCTTCTGCGGCGGCTGATGTCGGTGCATATACTGTAGGGGGGCGTTCGTTTATACTTAGAACAAGTAAACATCAACTACCATATTTACACTCCCAAACGGTAGACAATGTGTAATGGCAGTTCGTCAAGTGGTCGATCGAGAGAATACATCTGAAATCTATTTAGAAAAAGTAATTGAGTAACCAGTTCATCAAGAATTAGATTTA